TAGAGAAACGTGAAATCCAATGGATAACTAGAGTCTGACTTATACATTAGCCCAAGAGATCGAGCCAGCTTGTATTTGAATTTTCAAGGATGGAATCCCTGGAACATCCCCAGTTAATGCAAAATCCTAAAAACAGTCTTTCTCCAATTTTCTGTCTTTCAGAAGACTTGGAGCTGCTGTTCCAGACTCCTATCCCCTTCCAATAAATCCACTGGACTTGCTCACTAGAAATGATGAAAGCAGTAATTTAGTACATCTGGAGGGCACAGTGTCAGGGCAGGACTGTGCTCACAAATTTGCTCAATTCCAGTAGCGCTTCAACTGCACTCCATGAGGCTTTTAGCAGCATCAAGGCCTGTGTTTTTTGCTGCTCGGTTTGAAAGGCGTGGAAGATGAAAACATTTAGCAGGAACATTTGGGATGCCTTTAAAACCTACTAAGTACAGCACTCCCCAATCTGCACGTTTCCAAATGTTTTGGCCTACATTTTCCACAAGTCCCCTATGCGTGGGCATGCATTTGTTTGTGAATGCAGGTGAACAAATCTCTCTTGAGGAAGAAATGACCTCCTTTCCCCACTAAGTGCTTCCAGATTAGGGGAGTTAAATGTTCAAGATCTTCAACTCATGTGGAGGGCACCAGGTGAAGAAATGGTGGAGTAGTTAATGCTGAATTAGGTGGATTCTTGGTCTGACTCAATAAAAGGCCATTTTTAGGTGTTTCTTGGTCCCCACAGAGACAGACGAGACAGCAAGCTAGATTTCTGTTGTCCTGGTAATGGATGCTCACTCCCATATCACTGTAGCTTAAAGCACCTCTGAGTGCTGGATCTTTAGTTTCTTTGGGGCTCCTAAGGGAATCAATGAAGGAATCATCAGGGTGAGATTAAAGTCTTTACTCTCTTCCTGTAATTGGGAGAAGTTTGTGGGATATACCACTGCCACTCAACCTGTCTGAAAGGAGGAGCAATGAAGAATAGTTGAAAATTGAAGCATTTGCCAAAAAGATCCTGATTAGGGACATCTGTAAGAGCTCAGAAGCCACTTGGCATTTTCCATGTGAATGGCTGCAGCCCAGTTGTTCCTCTCCTAATATAAACAAATTTACATAGATGACTTACCAAGTGTGGGGATCTTTGGCTCCTTCGAAGATGGTTGTGGAGGCTCCTTTGTGGTTGGGTGTGGATGCTCTGTGGTAGTTAGTTTTAGTTCTATAAAAAAGGATCAGTTAAAAAAAAACTCCACTGTATAGCAAGAAAAAAAAAGGCTGAGTCCTTTAAATTAAAAAAAAAATGGTTACAATTGCACCATGGAAATACAGTTCTGGTACCCATCTTTGAAAAAGGGTATGACAGAGATGGAAGAAGTACAGAAGAGAACAACTCAGATGACTAGGGGTCTCAAATATCTTCCTTATAGCGTCTTTAGCTTGGAGAACAGGAGAACATAACCGAGGTCTACAAGATCATGCATGGCATGGAGGAAGTAGACAAGGAGAAGTTTTTCACCCTGTCTCCAAAGACTAGGAGAAGGGGCCATCCAATGGAACTGACTGGTGGAGACTGAGGACAGAAGAAAACTCTTCTTCACAGAGCACAGCTAACTTATGAAATTATTTGCCATAAGAAGCAGTGATGGTCACTAACTTGGATGGTTTTAAAGGGGTTAGGGTAAATTCACAAAGGTTTGAAGACTTAGGGTTATCTCCCAGTCGGGGGCCACATGGCTTCAAATACCAGTTGCAGAAGAAAAATGGTGGGAAGGAGTTATGTCTCAATCTCCTTCTTGTGAGCACCCCAGCATTGCCTGGCAAGGGGGGAACCATATAAATTGAACAATGAAATAAACTCTTGTAAGCCACTACTGTATGTGAAACCAAACAGTGGACTAAGGTGGGCCTTGCCCTGATCCAACAGAGATGTTCTTATGATCCGATTCCATTATACTCTCTTAATAAAACAGGATGACAAAAGCAAAGGGGCAAAACCTCTAAACATGGAAGAGCTATCAAGAAGGAAGGCAAAGATGTGGGTCTCTGTTCCATATTCTGTTATTGGAAAATAATTCCAGTAGTACCATTAGAAATTTCTTGAAAGAGAAAAACCAATCTCAAACCAATCATCGAAGCTCTGTGTTTCTGGGATTAAGCAGGGGGTTGAACTAACCGGCCTCAGACATGGATGCACAACTTTTTTTTTTCTGGCCTTTTTACAGTCAGCCAGAAGAAGAGGGGCCAGGGCAAAGAAATCAGCTGAGCCAGGGGAAAAAAATAAACTGGGTTTAAATCACACCACATCCAATTAAATACTTCATCACGTTAAAAATGGCAATTTGGCGAGAATTTCTACAGAGGTTCTGGGGTACAGCCAAAACTTTTTTGTGGAGTGGGGGACATGCAGATCTGTGATGCACCCCAACAGAAGGTTTCTGTCCTCGGGTCATTCTAGTCACTACAACTTTTACACTAGAATTCACATCTGATTTCTGCGACTGCAGTAGGCAAAAGGATTATATGCTCAGACTTTCTATGTGCATTTGGTTTATTATATGGTAAACCTGAAATTAACCATACGAGAGCTGACCAGAGGCCTAGTATCCATCATCCTGGTCCAACTGTTGCAGTCCAGAGACTGACAAAGCTTGCCGCTTCTGATTCAGGAAGGAACATGCAACCAACATGGAATAAGAGCTATCCATACTCTTTCCTTCCATGAATTTGTATTCTGGACGTTGCCTACTGTCTGGTCTCCGCAAATCAGTTAACTTATAGCACAGACAGAAGGTTTTGCAAGGCCTTCTAACAAATCCTCCCCGAAGGATTACCTTCACAGCTGACAGTGGTGTTGAAAAATGAGCATTTCTCTTCCAACGCTTCTCCATTTTTCACACAGCTCCCCATACCTACAAATGAAGGAAGTCATTTTGAAGCAGGGCACAATAACAAGCTTTAGCTTTTTTTCTTCTTCTTCTTCCTCCTTTTATGGGGATACAGAACCAGATTGGCTGGGTTCACACACTACAATAAGCCAGTGTTTCTCAACCTTGGGAACTTTAAGATGCGTGGACTTCAACTCCCAGAATTCTCCAGCCCGCTATGGGGAATCTTAAAAGTTCCCAAGGTTGAGAAACACTGCAGTAAGCTATGGAATGTTTTAATTGTGGTCTGCAGAACAAGCCACAATGGCTGGGTTCACGCACCATCCACTGGGGGGGCGAATGCCTCCAAATACCAGTTGCAAAGGAAAAATGTTGGGAAGGGCCTATGTTTCCATCTCCTGCTTGTGACCACCTGACGAGCAGCAGCCATATAAATTGGGGAAAGACCAACAGGCTTTTCTCCTACGTAAAAGAAACGGTTGCTCCTTTACTCTTGTGCTTTATTTTAAGTGAGCCTTAAAACTGTTTTGTCTTAAGCAGAAGAATGCTATCAGCTACTTCGGTCACCAGAACTGCACTGAAACAGTGATCTCCAGAAAAGAGAAGAAATGCCTCCTGCTCTGTTTGGCTGACCCTTTTTCAAAAGGCACACAAATGGACACGGCAGAAGAAGCCTGCTCCGTTCCCGGGGTTAGGTTTGTTTCCACAAAACAAAGAAGCACCAAGTGCCTTCTTCTCTGGATCAATGGGATGCCAAAGCCTGGAATTCGGGGCTGTTGTTTTCGTCTGTTGGGTTGTGGTGTCTTATAAGAAAAGCCATTTTAGGAGGAGGAAATGTCTCCTTTTGCCTCTTGGTCTCAGTTTAAATGTTCACTGCTATGCCAAATTATTCAGACACGGGCCTTTGTCAGCAACAGCAGGATGCAAACACTGACCGGCTCTACAGGGTTAAGCTAAGAGCTACTACACAAAGCAACTTAAGGCAGAACCGTAAAGTTCTCAGACTCAACTTAAGACAGAACAACAAAACTCTCCTTCATAGATCGATCCTCGTAGTTTTCTAAGCAACCAATATGGACATGGTTCGACCTTGTCTTCATCCACAAACCATTTAAAAACGTTCTAAAAAAATGGCCGTTGCATTTCTTAATAAACCAGGAAATGCAACAGCAGCTGGAGCTGAGCTACCCCCATCCTGGATATTTTGCCTAACCTTTGCTTGGCTCGCTGATTGTTAGACATCCAGAGGGGTCTGGAGGTGGATGACGAGAAAATGAGTTAGCGTAGCTTGCCCTGCCTCTACAGGCAAACTCTCTTGCAGTTTCTAAATCACGCTGGCCGGCAACTGTCATGGGAAGCAATGAGCACCAGGAATTTGTTTCAAGATCAGCAGGCAGCAAAAGCTGTTCCTTTACAGCTCCCGGCTATTCCTCTCCTCTCGGGACTGTCGCCACGGCAACAAGCCAGGTGCAAACCAAAAGACATTCAGAACTTGAGATCACCTGGCTCAGACATGGCCACCGAATAGAAGGGTTTTCAGAGCGCTGGCCACGTCTGAGAATGGATCTTGTAGACGAATTACAACGTTCAGCATCTGTCATCCGTGGCCACGAAGGCTAGCCTGCTGGGAACTGTAGTCTGCCAGTAGGTAGCCCATCCCTGCACAAAACAAGATCCTTGCAGTAGTGCTGGGGACAGGATATTTGGCAAGCATTTCTTCCTCACTCACCTGGCTTCTCGTGAGACTCCTGACAGTATTTCCAAATGCAGTTTGTAATATTCTGGGAAGGAGAACCTTCAGTGCACTGGTTACATGACTCCAGATCTTTGCATTCCCCTGTAAAAAAAGCAAATGGTGTAGAGAGGTTGTTTTCCCACCAGACTATAGATGTGGATCCTGAAAAGGTTGGGTTGGAGTGACAGAAAACTGCTGAGTTTTAGGGTTATTCAAAAGCTCATACCAGTAAGTATAACCAGGTCCCTTTTGCCCCCCGCCCTCAAATTTTCAGATATTCAATTTGCACTCTATATACAATAGTTGCCATGTTACTTTCAGAACTGTCTCTTTTCTTCATGTATCCTTAACACTGGAGGTTCAAAACGAACTCAGATCAACTTAATATAGTCTCCTACGTTGTCAAGGTGTTGAGGTCATCATCCTGGACAGGATGAAGTCTTCACCGCTGGAAAAACGACTGGCAACACCAAACACATTTTATGTTTGCTGCAAAGAGACTGTGACGCTATTGGTTAAACTTTAGAGAATTTAACTTAGCAGGCCAAGAAAATCCACGCAACTATTCTAAACATGGTGAGAATGATTATGGTCGGATGCACACGCTGAGCGGAGCCCAAACTTATTTTCTGTTGTTTGCTTTTGGCTTAGGCTGATGCGAGAATCCAGTTCATGCTTCCTTTTTTTGGAAAACGATATTATATGTCATGTGAATTTGGTTAATTACGATTTCTGATTGGAACAAATCATAATAAACAAAATGGTCAGCATGACGTGTGAGCCAAGACTATATTTCTGTGACTTTTAGGAAGAGATAGTTTGATCTTCTTGTTTTCTATTCTTCTCAATATTTTTTCCTCGGGCTTCTTTGTATCTACTAGATCAGTGTTTCTCAACTTTAGCAACTTTAAGATAC